TCATTGGAATGTGCATGTCTCCTCTGGTCCAGAACCGCGCCCCAGCAAGGACGCCTGGGGAATCCAGCCAGAGCCTTGTCCGTGCGGGTCTGCGAAGCGCCGTGCAGACCCGCGGAGGAGCGGGAGCTGAGCCGCCGGTGCAGCGGAGCGCATCGCAGTCATTGAAACCCTCGGGGGCAGGGGCCGGGGAGACGCGGGGAAAACCCCACTGCGGAGCAGGGAGGCACCCCAGAGCCGGTTCCTGAAGCACAGTCTTCCAGCGCACACCCCGATCGGACCCGGGGGGCAGTGGCTAGGACTGGGGAGGGAGGGTCTGAGCGCGGGGGCGCGGGCTCCGGAGCGCCCCCTGTGGCAGGGAGCGCGCGGTGCACGCACAGAAGGGGCGCAGGGGGGAGCCTTGCCAAATGGAGGGCGGGCGGGCGGGAAAGACGAAGCGAAAGGGGCCGCCCGCGGGCGCCGGGAGCCGCCAGCCCCAGCCCCGCGTCCCGCGGGCCGCGCCCCGGCCCCCAGGCGGCGCGGGGCCAGCTGCGCGCGGGACAAAGCGGAGCGCTCCCGGCCTCCCCTTCCTCGCCTCCCTCGGGGGAAAAAGGGGGATCGGCAGGAAAAGACGGGCTTTGGGGGCGCTCAGAGTCGCCCGCGCCCGTGTACGGCAGTGATCGGCCCCACCACCGCCCTAGGGAGGATGAGAGAGACCAGCAAACTTTCCTTTTCGGTCTCTGGGCACAGCCTGGGTCCCACGATCGGCGGCATCCCGCACCCCGAGCCCGCGTGGGTGCCTCACCCAACCCCATCGCCTTCTCCCAGCCCCACGATCCGCTACGCCCGCCCGCAGCGTCTGGTGGGAGGACCCCCAGCTGGCTGACCCTAAATGGGACGCCGACCCCAAGTCCCCTTTCCCAGTGCCCCACCGGATTGTGCCCGGGGGAGATTTTGTTCTCGGTCCTCCAGTGCCGCTGCCGAGCCCGGGACACCGGCCCCTCCCGGGACTTCCCCGCGCACCCCTTTGGGGTCCCCGGAGGGAGTCCCCGGGAGCCGTGCACGCCCGCCGCTCGCCGCTTCCCCGGACGCCGCGCACCGCGCCCAGGAAAAAGTTCCCGGTCTTCCTGAGAAAGTTTCTCACCGGAGAAAGGACGGGTTTGGGGGGGCTCTCCTTCCTCCGTCCCCTCCCAGCTCTGCCCTCGCGGGGTCCCGTCCAGCCCGGAGTCCTCTCCGGCGCGAGTCAACAAACCAGGCGGCTGCGGAGCTGGTGACACGTTTCCCTCCTCTCTCATCTTACAGCCTCCTCCTCCCCCTCCTCCTCCTCCCCCTCCACCCCCTCCTTCTCCTCCTCTTCTCCACCCCCTCCGCCTCCCACTTTTCCTGTTCAGTGTTCCTCGCTTCAGTTTTTCTCCGAGGGTCCCCACCTCCCTCCCTCCCTCCATCTCACTCCTCCCCAGCAGCCACTCTCGAGGGGGGGGGGGGGGGCCGGAGGGGGAAGGGGCCGCCTGCACTGACATCCAGTTCAACAATTTCAGGAAATCCAACTCTTGAACTTGAAAAGCCTGGGAGGGTGCCACAGGTCTGGGAGCCCAGGGCTGCGCTTCCCTCACACAAGACCACACACACCCCGTCTCCCTCCTCCTCCTCCTCCTCCTCCTCCTCCTCCTCCTCCCCCTCCTCCTCCTCCTCCTCCTCCTCCTCCTCCCCCTCCACGACGGGATCATTTCTCCCCACCCCTTACTACGGACTAGAAACACTACGGAGAAGCCCAGCATCCCTGGAGAATCAGAGCGTCTGCTGTTGTAAGGAGCAGCCCCCTGGCCCATTCCAGACCTCATTCCAAGCGCATTTGTGAAAGTTATCGCTTCGGTGAGGTCTGCCCCTTAGGTCTGCTCAGCGCTTTGCAAGCTCCCACATTCTCTCTCCAGCCGAAGGTTTCACGAATTGGAAGGTCCCTCGGAGCTTTGAAACAACAGAAAACCAACCAATCCCAAAATTTTAAAACGACGTAAAATTGTTTTCAAAACTTATAAATTTTTTTTGCAGGTGTTGAGAATTGGATGCAGCTGTTTTTCAGGACCCACGGGCTTGCACAATGTCACCCTATGGCTGAGCAGGAAATACTTTAAAAACGCTGCCCACTGACACATCACACTTGGGCTTTGAAACCACAGTGACATTTGCTGAAGCAAAGAGAGATGTCTTTTTAAGTCAGCCCTGCAGGGAGGAGGGGAGAGAATCGTGTTTATTTTTATCGCTGTGGCCTTACAATGCCTAGTCAGGGGCTGGTCAGGGTGTGCCCCCAGCAGGGAGCGGGACTGAGGAAGCTCTGGGCGCCCCACTTGTCCAGGGACATCAGAGAAAGCTCAGGTATTCTCAGTACAAACCCGGCATGATGGAGAGAGACTTTAAATCTTATCCTGGGAATCCCACAAGGTGAAAGGAACGCGGCCCCAGGCACTTGCCTGGGAGAGACAGAAAGGCTGGGGGGGAGGGGGGGAGCAGTGCGGGCTGGAGGGAATGCTAGCTATGTCTCCCAGGCGGCTGGTCCAGGGGCTGAGGCGCCAAGCCTGGAGCCAGGAGGTGAAGGCCTGGGTGCCACCTCTTTCTCTGAGCTGCAGGGAAGAGCCCAGTTCCTTAATTGTGCTGCGTGTCAGTTTGCAAGCAGGAAAATGGGTATAACAATAGCAGCCATTGCTTAGAGTGGTTAAGAGGATTCCATGAACATAGGGGTACATATATCCTTTCTGATTGGTGTTTCTAGTTTCTTGGGATATATTCCTAGAAGTGGGATTACTGGGTCAAATGGGAGTTCCGTTTTCAGTTTTTTGAGGAAACTCCACGCTATTCTCCACAGTGGTTGCACCAGTCTGCATTCCCACCAGCAGTGATTCAAACAGAGAAAGTGCTTAGAGTTTCTACCCAGGTCTAGCAGTATTACTACAATGATCCCGCAGGTCTCGGGAGGTGAAAAAGGAAACTATGTCTATAAGGCGGCAGGAAGACTGGCTTGGGAACATGCATTAAATGTTGCAAATTCCCTAGTCTCCTTCAAATCCTTTGTTCAGTGAGATCCATCCTACCGGGTCCCTTTAAAATGGTAACTCCCTCCCTCCCCCACCTTCATTCCACTCTACTTTTTCTTTTCCCATTGCATCTGTGACTTGTAACATATCACATAATTTACTTCTTTTTGGAAAACGGCTTACAACAACCTCTTACTTCTCAGGCAAGCTCAACTCTGCAAGATCACGGATTTGTTTCTGTTCACGGATATTGCCCCGAATTCTGGACCAGTGCCTGGCACATCCCGTGCACTAGGACATGATGATAAGGGATAAGTGGATTCCTTTAGCAAACTTATTCTATCCTGAGTGCTTATGGCCGGCTGGGCACTGTGCAATTAAAAAAAAAAAAAAAAAAAAAAAGCTAAAACAGTGGTTGGCAAACTCATTAGTCAACAGAGCCAAATACCAACAGCACAACGATTGAAATTTCTTTTGAGAGCCACGTTTTTTTAACTTAAACTTCTTCTAACGCCAATCCTTCAACATAGACTCACACAGGCCATGGTATTTCGTGGAAGAGCCACACTCAAGGGGCCAAAGAGCCTCATGTGGCTCGCGAGCCGCAGTTTGCTGACCATGGAGCTAAAACATACTCCCCAGGCCTATTCAAGGATAAAAGAAGCTCCCTCTGAGAGAAGTATCGATACACTCCCTCACACACATCTCTGTGGAGATGCCATAAAAGAGTATTCAGAGACTGGAACAGAGGTTTATAGAGGTTAAAGTCTCTTCTTACCTAGAGGTTGCTAATTTTTTTTAAATATGTTTTTATTGATTCTTAGAGAGCGGGGAAGGGAAAGGGAGAGAGATAGAATCGTGGATAAGAACAGCCGCCTCCTGCACACTCACTACTGGGGATCGAGCCTGCAGCCAGGCATGTGCCCTGCCAGGGAATGGAACCCGGCGACACTCAACCAAGGAGCCACACTGGCTGGACTGTACATGAAATTTTCTTAAAATAAGAAGCTGGCATTTTGGTGCAAATCAGAACTTTGCCCTCAGGATGATTAATATATTGTACTTGTCATCACCCAAGTTTTTACCAAAATTCAAACGGAAGGTCACTGGAATCTTGCCTTTTCTTATTAGGAAACAGATTTTTTTTTTTTTTTTTTTTTTTTTGACAAACCAATACAGATCACTCTATTTAAACACTCATTTATGGACGAGGAAATTCTAGGCCTGTATTAGGCACACCAGCCTCTGAAATGGAAGTTGGCCCAATCCTAGTCCCTGCTGACAAGTTAGGCCTCTGGCAGCCCCTTTTAGGCACTTGACCCAAATGCAGCCAAACTTTGTGACAGACGCTGGCGTGCATAAGGTGCCCTGAGCCATCAGATTCCTTTTCAGGAATGTGAACCTGCGCACTGCCCGCACACACAGGGTAGCAGGAATCCAGAACAAAAGCTAAGAGGTCATGATCATCTGAACTCCAGACTCCAGCAGCTGCAGGTGGGCTGCCCGTGGACCAGGTAAAGGTACATTCTGTGTTTATCTTTTGGTCCCCAGCGTGTCAATATTTAAAAAAATAATAATTGCTCACATGAAACCATCAGAAAACTTCATGCAAAAAAAAAAAAAAAATGGTTTTCGGCTTGCCTTGAACACCCTGGAAGACCTGGTGTTGATCACAGTCAGCTAGAGCTGGGGCACCCCGCTCCCCTTAGACAGGACATGCGGCTTCCAGTTTGCCACAAGCCCGGGCACTCCCTACTCCCTGCTTCTCCTGTTCCCAGCCTACTCACCCATTCCCCTGCCAGCGATGGAGCTAGAGAAGAGATGCTGGCACATCTCAAGATCGGGCCAAGAAGCAGAGGCCCCGAGGGCCTTAGGATCCAAAGTACCATCCACTTCCTGTGCACCCAGAGGCCTGTTCTGCTACTTTTCTTTTGTTCCTGTAACAGTGCCTGCCCACGCCATCCCCATGACGCACGTCCATCCCCAAAGTCTTACCAGGCTGAGTTCAGGCTTAGGTGTTTGCCCAAAGTTATCCACAGACAAGAACGGACAGGTCAGGGATCCCGGATGCCAATTCAGTGCCCTTGAGCGACACTGTACTCCTTCTAGGCTTGATTCCGTCCATCTCAGAATATTAGGGAAACCCACTTCCGTTTTTACAGAATCATGGAATTCAATGCCTTGGGATCTGATCTATAAGAGGTAGGAAATAAACTGAATTCAGGTGTTCAAGGTCTGATCTCCAGGTTGGATTTCCTTCCATAATACTTCAGCGTCTCATACTGTGTCAAAAAAATGTATGCCAGGGAAGGAAAGCCTCACACCCATCCATAACTTAGCTCCTTCATGGAGGCGGGACACACAGAGGCCCTGGAAAGACCCTTTGCTGATGCCTGGCACAGAGGTGGTGAGGAGTACGGTTAGTGTTAAACACTTAGAAAAATACATAGTGATTTTTCATAAACTCTGGGCAGTGTTAAACACACAGTTTTTCAGGTCCTCGGAACTGCAGTCATAAAACAAGTTAATGTAGTTACTCATGGGAAATATTCATCGAGATATAACACTTGCATAAGCCCTCACTGTACATCAGCAGTATTGCACCATCCATGACACCGGGACCATTGGAGACTAGGCTCGGCATCTGATCTAACAACAGGGTGTAAAATCAGTGACCTTTGCTCCAGCAGCAAAGCTTAACGCACAAACGAGAAATAGCTTTCCTTCCTTCTGCTCTCTTTCTAACTTCCAGAAGGAAATTGAGAGCCTTAAAGTTTGTTTTTTAGAAGAAATTTGGATGATACAAATAAAACAGTTTTCACACCCTTTTCTTGGTAGCAATTGGGTATTTCCGGTATGTTGTTGTTTTTTTTAGTTTCTTCTGTCTTCAGAAATATCTGTCATCCATTCTGAAGGGCTGGTATTGAATTCCATCTGATTGTACAGAAGTCTCCCAAAAAAATTTATACACATTTAACAGTGTGTATCCTGTTGTTGTTTTCTTTTCTTTTCAGATTTAACCCATTGGAATTAATTATTGTTCTGCAATTCATAGTCCATCAGCAGCAAAATCTCTTATATATCTTCACCTTTTTTTCTGAACATTTTGTTGGCCTCTGTGCCCTAATTCAGCGGTTCTCACCCACTTTGGTCTCAGGGTACTCTTAAAAATTATTGGGGACCCCAAAGAGCTTGTGTGTGGGTTATGTCTATCAATACTTCCTGGATTTGAAATGAAACATTAAAATTAATTTATTATAAAATAACTATAATAAAACTATCACAGAGTTTATGAAAAATCACTATGTATTTTTCTAAGTCAGGGGAAGAATGGCATTGATTTACATCTCTGCGAATCTCTTTTAAGTTCTGGTATAATAGAAGACAGCTGGGTTTTCAACCACTTCTGCATTCAATCTGCGGTGTTATCACACATCATTTGGCCTCTGGAAAATTCCACTGTGCATTTTTGAGAGAAGGAGAATGAACGGCTGAAAGATATCTTAGGATTAGCGTGAACACAGAGTTGGATTGGTGATTCTCTGACAGTTTTCACAGACTCCCTGGGTTCCCTCCCAAACCACACTTTGAGAATCGCTGTTCTAACTGAACCCTGGCTTTCCCCTGAGGACCCTCTTCCCAAAAAAAATCCTCTCTCATGGTGGTTCCTCTCCAACACTCTGTATCACTGGACAGAGAGAAAGAGCAGTTGTTTTCCTTGCCCCCTGTGCCCTGGCCTGCATGCTCAGTGGTTAGAACACCAGCCCTGGCACCAAGTAGTCATGGGTTCGATCTCTATCAAGGGCACGTACCTGGGTTGCAGGTTTGACCCCCCCCCCCCCCCCCCAGCCCTAGTCAGGGCACGGGTGGAGGCAACCAATCAATGTGTCTTCCTCACATGGATGTTTCTCCATCGTAATGAGGGCTAGATGAGGTCATGAAGATGGCACCCTCATGATGGAATTAGTGGCCCCTTCAAAAGGAGAAAAGACACAATCTCTCTCTCTCTCTCTCTCTCTCTCTCTCTCTCTCTCTCTCTCTCACACACACACACACACACACACACACAGTGTAGTTGCCATTACAACTCTCACTCTTCAGACAACACTATGACATGCACGCTACTATTATCCCCATTTTACAGATGAAGAAAATTGATACTAAAATAAGTGGTTTAGTCCTTTACCAGGGTCACACAGCTCTTCAGAGGTAGAAATAACCACAAAGTTCACAATTTTCTTTCCCACTGTAAGTTCTTCCAGACTTTTAGTCACCGTGACCTCCCAGTTTAGGAAGAGGAAGTCGCAGAGCTGTTTGGGGAAGATAAATAAATATTCTCTCATCCAAACCACCAACTGCCAGGAGGCTCCCGGCTGGATGTGGGAAATGAGGAGAGTTCTGCAGTAGTAGAAAGTGGGTAGAGCCAAAATGGCCCCTCCGCTAGATTACCATGGTTGGCAAACTGCGGCTCTCGAGCCACATGCAATTCTTTGGCCCCTTAAGTGTGGCTCTTCCACAAAATACTCCGGCCTGGGCAAATCTATTGTGAAGAAGTGGCATTAGAAGAAGTTTAAGTTTTAAAAATGTGGCTCACAAAAGAAATTTCAATCGTTGTCCTGTTGCTATTTGGCTCTGTTGACTAATGAGTTTGCCGACCACTGCAGGCCTGGTGTCCGCCCCAGTCAAAGTAAGCCCCACTGGTGCCGGTGTGGAAATGGCTACCCTTCACAAAGACTCTCTGTTCGTTCTCCAACACTAACTGGGGAAGTTCTGGTCTGACAAGAACACACACCAGCCCCTCATTCAACACCTGTTTCACGTCTCCTTATAAATATGATACTCACGTTACCAGAGTTTGGGTGTTTCGGCCTGGCTTCCGTCAATGAAGTCTATCTCAGGTCTCCCAGATGGACATTTCTTAAATTGGTCTCCGAGGAAGGATGTGGCCAGTGTTGCTGGAGAAAGATCCCTTAGTTAAATAATGTTTGGAAATACTGCATATAATAGCATAATATGCCTGAGTATATTATGAACTTGGCCTTAGCTGGTTTGGCTCTATGGATAGAGTGTCAGCAACCTGCGGACTAAAGGGTTTAGGATTCAATTCCAGTCAAGGGTATATGCCCAGGTTTCCGGCTCAATCCCCAGTATGGGATGTGCAGGAGGCAACCGATCGATGATTCTCTCCCATCATTGATGTTTCTATCTCCCTCTGAAATCAATAAAAATAAAAATATTTTTTTTAAAAAAAGAACTTGGAGGTGGTCTACAGGAGAGAAATGTTCAATAATTTCATTTCTTTCCATGGAATACTATTAACAGTTGAGGATCTAGTGTTCCACAGTGTAATTGGGGAAATCCTGTCCTAGACAGAAGAACTGTATGTTGGTCAAGTTTGCTTTGAAAAGAGCCCGGGACTAAATAAGATCAAGGGGAAATCTTAACTGAGTCTACTCGGTAGACTGTGCTTTCTGCTTTTTTAATTTCTTGGATGACTAATCAACCCATAAGATCCTAAATTTACGGGGGGGGGGGGGGGGATATCCCCACTCACTTGCCACTACAGAAACAAAACGAGTAACCTTGAACCATGATTTCTCCGGACCTGTCCAAACCCCTGTCAGGGCTGGAGAACCAGCCCAGAGAAGGGGTGATGGAACCCAACACAGATGTGAGCTGAGGACATCTGAGAGGAGCTTAGCATGAGCAGGGTTCACTGGCCCCAGGTCCCAGCAGAGAGTGACTCCTCAAATCCTCACAGCTGCCTGGGATGCATCCCTGACCTGTCCCGCAAGGGCAGACCAGAGCCTGGCTCTGTGCCTCCACTGAGTCGACACTCCATAAATCTTCATTAAAGGAAGGAAGGGTGGGAGGAAGGAAGCAGATTGAGGTTTGGAGATGTTCACTTGCCCAACATCGCGCCTCTAGCAAGCCGGAGAGCCAGAAGTCAGCGGCGGGACAGCTGAGCTCGGCCACACCTCGCCATGCTGCCAAGTGGCTCATTCACTAGCACACGGCCAGCTGCTAGGAGCTGGCTGGGGCCGCGGCCACATGTGCTCAGTACATTAGCTTTGGCCTTACTGTAATGTGTGCCGTTAAAACTGCTGTGTTTAGACAGCACTGTTGCTGCTGTTTGTTATTCAGAATGATTGAAAATAATAACTAACATGTAGTACATACTTCCTATTTCCAGGCACTATACCGAGACCTGGACACGGCTCATTCCCCAGGACCGTCCTAGGAAATAGGTACAGCCATAATCCCATTTTATAGACAAGGAAACGGAGAGATTCTCTGACAACCTCTCATTAAGTGGTAGAGTCAGGATTGGAACAGAGACAGTTTGACCCCAAAGTTCCTGGCCCTTAAGCCTCTTTGCTAAATCTACGCCTTCTGTCCAGTCGCTGACATCCTGAGAGAAGGACAAGAGAGAAGCAAGTACCACCCGCAGCTGCATATTGTATTTATTTTGTTAGTTTAACTCTTAAACGTGTTTACATAGTTGGAAGCACGTCACCAATATCAACTAATGCCATTCTCATCATACCACAAAGCAGCAGTATGAGGCTGGCCCTATTATTATTATTTCCATTTCACAGATGAGGAAACTGAGGCACAGGGAGTTCAATAATCTGCCCAAAGTCTCACAGCCAGCAGAGCAGGATTCAAACCCAATCAGTCTGGCTCCCTCGTCCTCAGGCTTACCCACCCAGAGAACTGCCAGATAAGAACGAGGAGGTCCCTCACTAAAAGGTGAAGTCCTCTCCCAAGACCTGTGGCAAAAACACACACCAAAAACAAAACAAACAAACAAACAAACAAACCAAAAGAAAACAGTCTCTGAGAGGAATGCAGAGCCATCTGCTGCCCTGGAGGTTAAACCCTGCCAGGGAGCTTGAATGACTTAATCACTCTTTAATTTAGATTTCCTGGCTGCATGGGTTCCTGTCCTTCCTACTTGAAATTAATAGCCAATTGTTTGTTTGCATTCTTGTGGGAGGGGCGGCCCATTCCCCTGGGCCCGCTGGTTCTGGGAGAGTGAGCTCTCAGCCTGGCGTCAGGCAGGTAAAGGGGACCCACCAACTGCCTTTGACAAGGGGCAACTCTGCTGATTCCACAGGTCCCTGCCTCCCCTCTCCGCAGGAAACCTGCCCTGGGTCGGCAGCACAACTCTTCGCACCTCTGACGGGGGAGCAGGAGGAAGGAAAGGAGAGAGAAAAGGCCTGAGTCGGGGGGTTTTGTTAGGATGTCTTCTGAGGAAGCGGTGAGAAGCGGCAACCACAGCACCTCCAGAAATGATGCTGAGGCAGGAACAGTGAGTCCTGCTTAGCACGGTGTCTGCCCCGAGCTAGGCAGGAAGAGAAGAGCTTGGAGGGGAGAGAGTGATGTCTGTCCTGGCCCGGGCAGGTGCACAACGG